TTCCTCTGTGCAAATGACGTGAAGGGATGGCAGACCTTTGGTACAATTGCCCAACGCTTGTCCTCGCGGCACGTCCACAATTTGCAGAAAACGGCGTGAAATCCAGCCGGGGAACAGCCGCGCTGTCCATTCAGTGGCCTTGGCCAGCCCCGTGGAAACCTGCCCAGACCTGACTTGGCCAAAACCTGCCTGGAAATCACAGCTGCTGCCCGGTGTTTTGTGTAACGGTGCAGAGCGAGCTGCCCCCTGCTCCCTCCGGGCACTGTGGCTGGGCTGTACCTCTCCCACCCGCAGAGACCCCCGAGCTCAGAGAAGACACAAGCAAACAGAGGGCTTGCCAGCTGCTTCCAAAGCCCCTGAAATATGAGGGCAAATGTGCTGCTCAGGCAACCAGAGAGCAGAAATTCAGCTTTACGTCTACAGAGCAGCAGTAATATTTATCTGTGCTTCACTGACTGTGTGGCAAAGCCAGGCTTTATGCCACATGGAGAATTTACCCAGCTGGGGACAGAACATAAGTTTAATTAAGTTGAAGGTGTAGATCTGAGCTGCCTTTCCATTCAGGGCACTCAAGCAACTATAAAGCTGATAGCTGGTCTTGAGGAAGATATTCCCAGCACTGAGATTTCTTAAAATCATCCATGTAGAGTCCCGCAGAGAGAAACAGCCTGTTCCAGTCCCCTTCCCCACCCGTGTGTGGCATCCCTCCTGGGCAGCAAGGTTTCTGGTCCTCCCGGTTAGGGAATTCCTCTGACCAGGGGAAGTCGGAGACACCGTCAGCGACATCTGTTCTGTTACACATCTATTTTTATTACAGTGGGACATTGTCTCATGGACACAGTTGGTGTAAAGGGAAAATGCAGGACTCTAAGACATCACAGAAGTTGCAGGTTCCTCCTCTTCCTTTCATCCAAGGTGATTTAAAGTGTTTTTACACATATGGCCCAATTTAAGAGCAGCAACGGCTCATGCAAGTTTTGGGCTGCTGCGGTACTGTGTTGACTGAATCGGGAATCATCACAGCATCTTTTAAGGCAATCCTAGTTTTTTCTTTCACATAAAGAAGCCATAACCAGGCAGTCCCTGGGCACTCCTGCTCCAGCCTAACATCACCAGTGCAATTAATGTCCATGAAACCTGGTGCCACTCAGCTCCCATCACCAGCACCAGCCCTATCCAGAAAATTACCCTTCTACCCTGTGTAATTTCCCTGCAAGACCATGTTGCTTTTTTTCAAGTCACACATTTTTCCAAGGGGAATAGTATAGACACAGCTGTGCAATGGTCAATAGGGAAAAAAAACTGGAATGAAACCGAATAAATTCTCCAGGAGAGAGGTGGGGAGTGCTGCTCCTTCTGGTCATGCTTCAAAACTCAGCGGGGAGCATCCTTTGAAGGATATAGTTTGTTATTCAAAAAAGAATAGCAAATTATGTGGTGTAAAACTAAGCACTGTGAGACAGGGAAGAAAGAAAGAAATAATTCAGTGTTATTTTCCTACAGCTTTTACACCTGTCTCTCCGTAAACCCTTCTGTAACCTTCTACTGCAGCCCAGCTTTCAGCTCGCCGTGACGTGGTGCTCAGCTTTGCTCCAGCCCAGCTGCACAATGGGGTCCGAGATGCTGAGGAACTGAGCAAACCGGGTTTAAGAGCTGTAATAAATTAAGCTCTCTGTTAATTCTCTCTTTGCACACTTAAAGATGCCCGGGGAGGGGTAGGGGGAGACAAATGGGGATTTATGCAAACATGAGGCACCGCACAGCCAGGATGCCACCAATGACCCGTCCCATGGGCTGTCAAACCTCTGGTTACAGCTGTGCATCCACAGCTTCCTCCCACCTCTCCCCTTTATAACACCAGATGCACAAGCATTGCACAGCCCAGCTGCAAGGCAGCAACCTCCGGCCGAGGGCACCACAGATCCAGACCTCCTGCCTGGTGGGACACAGGACAGCAAAGTGTCAGGTGGCCAAGCTGACAGTAGCTGTGTGTGTCTGGGTCTTCCCACCATCCTCCAAGTACAGAAATGAACTCCCTGTGTCATGGGTTAACAAACCTGCCACTGCAAGGCGTGGCTTGACTTCAATTTGTTGGCTCATGGATAATTATTTGTTGATATTTTTTTTGGGGGGGGGTAAAACTTCTGGAGCAGAGAGTGGGATAATTCAAGTAACTAGCGATAGGACGAGAGGAAATGGCCTCAAGTTGCACCAGGGGAGGTTTAGATTGGACGTGAGGAAAAATGTCTTTACTGAAAGAGTGGTTAAACCTTGGACCAGGCTGCCCAGGGAAGTGGTTGAGTCACCATCCCTGGAGGTATTTAAAAGCCGTGTAGATGAGGTGCTTAGGGACATGGTTTAGTGGGCATGGTGGTGTTGGGTTGACGGTTGGACTCCATGATCTTAGAGGTCTCTTCCAACCTTAATGATTCTATAAGCAGAGACACATCCAGAGGAGATGGGGTAGCACGGGAGGGTGGGAAGGTCCCAAAGGAAGAGCGACCAGGCGTCTTGTCAGGATGGGGATAAGGAAAGGTAGAAAGAAAGTATATTTCTTCCTGTCGCAGAAAGGGACTGTGTGGGGTTTATAATAACAAGAAAACCACATAAAGTTGCCAGACTAAAGGTAAACCTGGAGGAAAGGTTTGCTCACCTGTAGACGCAGGCGACAGGGAGGTCTGCATTTTCTCCATGCCAAAAATCTCCTCATTTGACTCTGTGCTCCAATAAAATCAGTGTTGGAGATCCAGTGATTTTTTTTTTTTAATGTGTTCGCTGTGAAAAAAAAAATGCAGAAAATTCCTCTTCCGTGCTATGGCTGACTTGGACTGTCAGGGGTTTAAAAACACATGGCCAGCTGCCTCGGTCACTGCCATGGAAGGGGAGACAGAACCTCAGCAGTGCTTCCTAACCGGGCTTCTCACATGTGCTACCCATCCTCCCTACCCTGGCCAGTGCCATTTGCTGGATTATATGGAATAAACTGTCAATAAAGGTGTCCTGACAGAGGATGGAGTTATTCATTGGTTTAGACTTAGCGCAGAAGCGCTTCAGAAATAGGAAATGCTGCTTCTGTGTCCCAGAAAGGACTTTGGCTGAGTAACAGCAAACGTGCTCATGGCCCAGGAACTGTAAAATCTTGACAAGCTCTGAAGTAAATATTTAGTGTTTGAATACCTGTATGTGTACTGATCCATGTATAATATGTATATACATGCGTATACATCCACATGTATATAGAGAGAATGTGTGACTTCTGACTGCCGTTCAAAACTGGAAGGATTAGAAATGAAATTTCTTCTTAATAAACTGCTTATCTTTTATAGATAATTTCAGAAGTATGGATGAGGTTGGCAGGTGTGCTGGTTATCCTGCCAGAGGCTGGGCAGCCTGAGAAAGATTGAGTAAAAGTTGGTATCAGGAAGGAGACTGAAACAACAGGAAAAAGCCAAGAGTAAGCCAGAGAGGAAGTAGTAGAAATTAAAATCTGATCTATTATAAAATTTTATATGAAAGATTGTATTCATGTTATCATTTCATACCTCATAATTTCATTATGCACTAAACTATTAACTTTGTAATTAGTAAGCTGAAAAATAAGCCATATTTATTCTTTCACTGACATGGAGAAAAGACAACCAGAAGGTCAGATATAAAGGACAAAATGTTATGAAGGGAAACAATGACCACGTTACAGCTGCAAATTAGACAACGAAGCTGCGTACCAAAGGCAGAATAAGGATCCTGCAGGACCAAAAGGAGCAGTCATTGCGTGTTCACAGTTATTTTATGTAACCCTGTGGTCTGACGTATCTTACACAAACTTGGATGGCCTAAGATGGACTGCAAAAGGTCAGGGGTTTTGCGGTGAAAGCAGTCTCAAAACGGACCCTCCTTTCTCATTGGAAGACACCGACGTACAGGACAAATTTGGCTGGAAAAGGCTTTTTTCATTGGCCCGTGACTGCCCTGCCAGCATCCCCAAACCTTTATATAAAGAGGCATGTTTGGGGGCAAGGTCTGGGGCACCCGCTGGAGAAAAGAGACGGACAGCAGCGGTGATCCTCCACCTCCTCCACTGGTAACTCTCTGCCTGGTTCTGGACAAGCACCCTCACCTTTTTGCCTTTATACACTTCTTTTCCTTTCATGAATCTCAAGTCTAACGAGTATTCTGCTTTCATTCACCCCTTCCTTCTCATTAGTCTGGTGAGTGTGTCCGGTCTGTACGTGTCCTACGGAACCATGGGTTGCTTGCAGGGCTTGCAGGAGGAAACCGTGTTTGCTGACCTCCAAGAGGAGTGAACAGAGGCCCAGGAACCTTCCCTTGAGGGATCAGAGACAGAGGGCTTGTCGGTTAAGAAATGTCTAGCTTCCTACAGAAACAGGCACCTAGCCAGCACAACAGTTCAGAGTTGCATTTTGAGCTACACATCTTGCCTGAACTCCAGTAACATTTTGAGTGAGTTGTCACCTTAACTGATGTTCAAGAGGTACAGCTGTCTTTTTTAGACTTTCCTGAGGATGATGGTTGGCTCGGTCTCTGAACACTTTGTGAACTACACTAGGTTGAAGACAAATAATTCGTAGGTCTGTGTTGGTTCCAGAGTAACCTGTCTGGTGTTGAACAGATCTGGAATATCATTTTTCAATGCAAGAAGACCAATATTAAAAAACAAACCCACAATAGAATCTCAGAACAACTTAGGCTGGAAGGGACTCCAGGAGTTTCTAGTCTGAATCCGTGCTCAAAGTGAGGCTAATTAGGTCAGGTTGCTTAGAGGTATATTTGATGAAATTTTGAATATCTCCAGGGATGCAGTTTTCACTCTGTTCTCCATTCAAGTCCATTGTGTTTTATAAGATTTTGGCTTTGGTCGCTAAGGGCATGTTTTAAGCAGTTCCTCATCTCCCAGTCAGGAGGGGACCCTCCATTCAGTGTCTTTCGGTCTTATGGTCTCTGCTTATTACAGGTAAGGAATTCACATCCCAGCTGTGACCATGAGGATCCTTTACCAGATCCTGGTTGTCCTCTTCATGATGCTCCAAGGGGCTGCAGGTAAGGTGTGAGGGGGGTAGAGAAAGGAATTAGAGGGGGAGGGAGAGAGAGAGTATCCACTTTTGCTCACTTTCATGGTAAATGACTATTCTCTTTCCACTGTGCAGGTCAGCCCATCTTTCCTGGGCCATACAATCCTTGTGTAGCCCAAAATGGACGCTGCTTCCCAGGGATTTGTCATTGGCCGTACTACTGGGTTGGAACATGTCGTAATGGATTTTCTTGCTGTAGAAGGTATGTGGAAGTGCAGGGATCACCATGGCAATGACTGATATCCTCCTTATCTTTTCTCCAGAGCAACATCTTAGAGGCACAGCTCCTGACACCATGCTGTCTCACTTCTCCAACGCCAAACCTGCTGGCATAGAGGGTCCTCAGCGGGCGTTCACATCCCATGGCAGCCTCTGCACTGGTGCCATGAAATAAAAACAACGTCACTGCAGAAAACCTACTGGTGGGTAACCTGAAACTCTCTCTTCTTCACCATGCAGGGGGTGGAGGAGCTGAAGGCTTTCTGGATTCTTCTTTTGGAAATCCTTTCTGCTTCTACCGAATGGCCTCTGAATCACCCTGATCCCATCACTCCTGGTGGCACCAGTTCCTGCTGCAACAAAAAACTCTCAAAATTTTCCTTTGCAGTGAAGCAAACATCAGCGTCTGCAAAAACATAAATATGAACGAGGCAACACTATGGAAATTATTTCTTCCCCCGCTTTAATAAAATCAGTTACGATGGCATTCGTATGGTTGAACCTTGGGTGTTTTTTGTAAGGAAGGAGGGGATATTTCGTAGAACTTCTCGCACCACGGGCAGTAATGCACAGGTGGGATGGTGGCTTTTACATCTAGACATTTCTCCACGTGCACCCCACTGCACCCCCAGGGAAAAGGGAGGTCATTTTATCCCCCGCTTCTCAATGGCCATATTCCCAGAAGACTCCTTCAGTGACCATGGTATATTTGTCAGGGATGAAACCTAGCTTCTCTCTGTGATGATGTCATAGGTACTTGTGTCCGGCAGATACATATTCTGGTAGTTTCCAGGCTGCTTTTTGAAGGAATTATGGTATTTTTGACTGAGATGTCAGAGACAGCATTCGTGCTTTCTATCTCTTTTCCCCTGCCATCATGGCCTAGCAGTGTAGAAAACGCCAAGATATCTCCAGATGCTTCCTTCAGAGGGCCTGGAGGCATCTGAGAAATTTCACTTCTGAGGGGACCTCATGCAAGGGAAAACCAGGAACATTCTGGATAACATCAGACCCTTGACAGTGACACAAACCAAAAAAAAGGTACAAAGAAGGAAAGAGAAAGAGACTAGCAAACACATTTCCAAAAGTTATGGATGTGCAACATAGTGGTTTGGATTGTCTTCTCTCAGAAGCAGTTGCTGAATGTGCACAGAACAGTGCCCAGTCAAATACATTGCCAAACTGACATGGTTTTGAATCCTAATGGCTTGCTAGGTGGCTTGGAGAGGTGCCCATGTATGTAAAAATCCCTCTGAAGGGGAAGTGTTGGCTTTGTTAGAGACACAACTCCCATTTTTACTGTTCTGCAGAATGAGCGCTTATGGCTCTACAGCTTGCAGGAGACGCTGTAGCACATCATCTCCTAATGCAATGTTTCTGGGTTTCTTGCCTTTTCTTACTGTTACTTTTGCGTTTATTCTAGCACTCTTATTGTAAATGTTTGTACTTCAGTTAAAAACATTTAGAACAATTTCTCTCCATTAACTATAAAGGAAGAGCAGTGAAAATAGCTTGGAATTTGATGTTTACCTTTAGGACATCTAAAGTTTGGTGAGATCACTCCTGACATTTGTGTCTAGAAAATATGGTTCAGTTTACAGATATTCTTTGGTTTTCAGAAACTTTAGGCTACGTGGCCTCTGCCAAGGAGCTTTGAACACACACTGCATGCCTGCCAGTCACGGTGTGGTCCTTACACCAAGAGGCTGGACTCTGCACTGGGACCCTGTAGCTTCAATTAGCTGTCAAGTCAAAAATAAGATGGAGGGCAGATTTGTTCATACGGATGTTAATCTCATCATTTCTCCCTGGTTACTCAAGATAACTACGTAATCATTAAAGTCTTGAGCTTGATTAAATACTTTTTGTGTACTGTTTGAAGTTTATGACTGTGTATCCATTCGTTATTGATTCAGATGATTTATACTTGGGTCAAAACTTTATCTGTTAACTATAATGTAGTACATGCCTTGCAAATTCACTTACAACTATAGAACAACATCTAAATACTGGTTATCCTCCTTTTGGTGGATCTACTTTGGCAGTGCAACTGCTGCTAACAGCTTTTGCAGCTAATCTAGAGGAGTCTGAATTTCTATACTATACACTCCACAGCTGCACCAAAATCCCTTGATCTCCTGTGCATCGATTATGCCTTATGGCTGGAATTCGGTTCAGTGCACATGAAGGAGGCTAAGGGATGATGATACCGTACGACTGAGGAGCAGTCTGTGGTTAGCTAGGCCACCAACTATCACTGTCGTTCAACCTAGCTCCTCTTTGGAGCCCACTAAAACATCTGCTCTTTGGCAAAGTGCTAGGGCTCAGCCTTTTGTTGGTCCCAATGTGCTAGCTGTGCCTGCATGCAATGACTTCCAGATGCCTGGAGCCTTCATTGCCATGAACAAAGGGTCCTCTGGAGGCAAGGGATGGAACAGCAGACAGGTATTTTGTGTAGTAGCATTTTAAATAAGGGTGACACTACTGAAAGACCTCCCTAATATTTGCTGCTATTTTTTCACCAGAAAACTATTAGGAACAGAGTTTGAAATTCTCCCTTTTGCTCCTAATTGCCTCATCTGCTGTGCTAGATATAGACTCCTAAGATGGAGGTAAGATCCTCCTTCCTCTCTGGGAAGTGATCTTGGCACAATTACCCAAACATCTGGATTTGAAAAGGGTGAAAGCCACTTCTCCTCACGACACTCTGCAGCCTCGTTGTGAAGATACTTCCCTTAATAGTGCATCCCACTTGCATCAGGCAGAGCAACGCTTCAGGCTCCATCTATCAGTTCTTGTGCCAGGGCTCTAAGCACTATACCATTATATATGGTTGAGTCACCATCCCTGGAGGTATTTAAAAGACGTGTAGATGAGGCACTTAGGGACATGGTTTAGTGGGCATGGTGGTGTTGGGTTGACGATTGGACTTGATGATCTTAAAGGTCTCTTCCAACCTTAATGATTCTATGATTCTATGATTACATAAAATGCTGACCCCATCATAATATTTCTCCTCCTCCAAAGAGGACTGGGTGATCTGGACCTGAGAAGAGTGGGGGAGTGTGGCATCGTTGGTGAACTCCAACTTGAAGAAGTTGGAGTGAAGACTTGCCGTGGAGATAGAGAGAAACACAACTGGATCATCTTCTGAACTTTGATGAAACAAGAAAACAAAAGAAACATGTTATTTAAGCAGAAGAAAACTCTCCATGAAGACTCCTTTTCCCTCTGCACTGAAAATAGTGATAAAGTAGATGGTGGTTTTGGTAGAGAGGATTACTTACCTAATGTCAAGAGCCAAATGATTGTGAGGTGCTGCCCAAGTTACCTGGGTTGGATCCCATGCATTTTCCTACCCAGGTACCCTAGGTGAAGGAACGTGTAGCTGGTGCTACTGTGATCCTGGTGTAAGTCAGGTCTACCAGCAAAAGACACTGGAGAAAAACTCTGAGACTGTGAAGGGCAAAACACGGATATGTCCCTCCTGATGTACGAAACTGACTGACTGTCTCCTGCTCATAAGAACAGGAGCTGCAGGCAGGGATGCAAAGGTTCTCCACCCTGAGAGCCACAACCCAAAATCTCAATAAGGCCTGCCTCACTGCTATGAGCTTTGGACAACCAAAGCTGCTCCATCCCTCCTCTGCTTCTCCCTTACCCATCTCCAGGCAGAGATATTTTGATGGCAATGATGGGAGTGACCGTGTAGAATTTATAATTATCAGTGTCAAGAATGCTCAACGTTAAAGCCAAGTCCTTGACAATACTTGCACGTAGGACCTTGGACATGGTAAAAAATAATGATGCATCTTTGTTTCCTTGAGGAATCCGGTTGAGTAACAATAACAGTTGGTAGTCAAGCTAACCGCAAACTCTTGGCAAGTTGTGAAGTAACTGCAACTTTTGTAATTTTATTCCCTTCATTTTCTGCTTTATGGCCAGAAGTTCATAGACACACCAGAAATTCAACTATCATTTTTTCCTACAGCAAAAACAGTTCTCTTATAAAAATATGTAGAAAATAAAAAGCTATCTCAATTATCAGGGTATGCATTTAAGGGAAATTGTTTGTAGGCATGTTTTCACATGCATATATATCTATGTGTGTCTGTGCTTGTATGCACATGTGTAAATGTCTGTACACTTAAGAAATTAATATCAAAGTATTGAAAAAATCACAGTTTAGTAACTAAGCTGAGGAACCAATAAGCAATTAAAATATTTCAGTTTAGTTTTGACACTAAATGATCTGTAAGACATGGTGTCATTTGCAGAGATCTTGGTCAATTAGAAACACTAATCATTCAAAATAGCAAACATATCATAACCTATTATGATGTACTTCAGGTGTCATATTAAAATATTGCATGAACAATGTTTATTGACTGAAGTGAGGTGTAAAATAAAATATGATCTGAAAAAGTATTTAGTATTGTTGTCTTTGGATAGTTATTGGGTATGTTAGCAAGTGACTTGATGCAATGGAAGATCAGTAGATAGGAAAGGATCACTAGACCTTAGAGATTGTCCTGAGGCTCCTCAGTTCTTTATTTTATGGATTTGTGAATTCAGTTTGACTTGGATTTTGCTATTGAATAAACCACAAAACAATGTAAGTTGGAATAGGTGTTTGGAGACCATCTGGTCCATCCATCCCTCCAGACAGAGCCAGTTTCAAAGATAGACCAGGTTGCTTAGAGCTTTTTCCAGTTGAGTTTGAATATCTATATGGGGATCGAGATTCTATAAATTCTCTGGGCCCCCATTCCAGTGTTTGACGAACTTCATTGCGAGAGGGTTTTTTTCCTTATATCTAATTGGAATTTCCCTCATTGTAATTTGTGTCTGTTACCTCATCCTTCCACTGTGCACCTCTGAGAAGAGCGTGGCTCCGTCTTCTCTATAGCTACCATTAGGTAGTTGTGAACAGCAATTAAATGACCCTTAGCCATGCCTTCTCCAAGCTGAACAAAGATGGGTCCTTCAGCCTCTCCTCAAAGGGTTGATCCCCCAGTCCAAACTCTCCAGGTTTCCAAAAGAAATAAATGTTATGTACGGTCTACAGAACCTTGAGGTGGTGTAGCCCACACATTGGTTCATGCCCCACTAGGCATTGGAGTACCTTCAGAGTACCTTTGGAGTACCTTCAAAGCAAAACTTCTGGTTCAGTTTCCTCCTAAGGAATCTAGTTTGCACACATGAAAACCCCTCTGCAAACCAAACCAGCATGAAGTCACAGGGGACCATCTAGGG